TCATGATTGGTTAGTTAAAATGCTCTTACAGCGAGAAGTATAAGTAAAAAAATAAATACTTGATTTAAACTGGTTCCAATGTTCAAAATCAAACTCAATTATGTTTTTTGGAGCTCAAAATTAAGATGATTTCCATGTGATCAAACATTGTACAAGCATGGGGTTTCGAAAATTGCTTATTTGAAAAACTTTGAAGCTCGGAAGTTTGACACTGGTTTAGCTAAGCGTAAAATGACTCGCTTAAACGCGCTTTTTTTAATGTTGAATTTTGCAAAAATTCGTAAACATTTTGAAGTCAGAATTCTGATCGAATCAAAAACAAATCCTGAAGAACTAGGCGCTAAAACCTAATTTTTGCGGGCAAGATTTTAAAATCCAGTGAAATTGCAAATTTTGTGAGCAAATTAAAGCAAAGTATTGCTAAATTCGACAGTTTGTTTGTGTTTTCCGCAATCATTCTGTTCTTCTGGTCCCTGGATTTCACAATTTTTTAGTTGAAACCGTAGTCTTATCCATCCTTACTACTGTCGCTGGATTTCACATTTTGTTCTTCCATTTTTTTTTCTGTCAAAAAGAGGAATACGCAGAATCCAATGGCCAAAATAGTAGGACTACTTCACTATTTGTTGCTAAATGTACCTTATTCGATTAGAAATTGACTGGTTTACTGTTATATTGTACTAGTTAGGAAAATATTAAAGAATTCACACCATATAGTCGGAGGTACAGTTTAGCCTTGATAATTCCATCAATCCACCTGGTGAACGTTCCATTTCCTACCCGAAGCTTCATCCTCGTCGCCTTCTGAGAAAATGTTTGTACCCTGAATTTAGTGGTTAATCATAAAACTGGCATTAAAATCATCAAAAATAACAAAAACAAAGCGTAACAATAAATGAAAACTTCAAAACTAAGTTGACCCTTAATGAATTCAATTATGGTAAAGATTTTGCTGATTAAAAACTCTTCTTTAAATGTTTCAAACTTCAATCAAACAAAAATTAGAGAAACTGAAATGAAACAGCTCCTAGATGTTACTACAATTTTTTTGGGAGCGATCGTAATATTGATTTATGTTGGTGATTGGGTTGTTTGAGTCAAATGGGTGCAATAGAAAGTGCATCTTTTTGTCATTGGTTTAGCTAAGACTGACAAGTCGCGTGAAGACAACTGGTCGATAACAAATTGTCAAACGACAGGCGAGCAAGCCGGTAGGATACATTTTTTTATTACAATCCAAGGCGATTGACGAAAGATTCGAGCGTTGACATCAGTCATTCAGTAAAAGTCCGAAAAGTCATTCTATCCTGATGACATTCGTCGACATATCGACTTATCCATCTAGGCATGCACCCAGATACTTATTCTTTCAATTAGTTATCTGTTCAGTCATCTATCTTTTCAGCAATCGATACAACCATCGACCTATTCAGCCAGACATTGTCCATCCAACTCTTCGGCCATCCATACAATCTGCCATCAACCCAGCCAGCCAGGCATCCACCTATCCGGTCATCGTTTTATCCAACCAGCAAGCCATCGATCCAGGCATTCATCAATCCGTCATCCATCTATCCTGTCATCTATCGATCTAAGTATCCATCCCTGAATTCATCCATGAAGTCAACCAAGCATCCTGTCAACCTTCCATCTATATTTCCACCCGTTTCTCCATAGAATCATCCAACCATTCTGCCAGCCATCCAACCATCAAGTCTTTCTTCGATCCATCCATCCATACAGGTAACCATCCATCAAGAATCTAGCCAACCAATCATGCAGCCATCTATCAATCCGCCAACCGATTCCACCAATGTGCACGATTCATCAGCCCAGCCGAGAAAACCAGCTGCCTCCGATTTCGTCTTTTTTTATTTCGGTCGGGACAAAAATAGGGTATTCTTATTGAGAAATTGTTGGATTAAGAATCAAGGAACGTAGTGAAGACTTTTATATAGGTCTGATGAATTTTTGCTCTGAAAAAGTCTTAAAAAGTCAGAAAAAAGTCTAAGAAATTGTTCACGGTCAATTTTGAATTTTCGCGTTATGACGTTTTGTTTCTTCCTAAGTTAAGAAAAAGCAATAAACAAAAGCGTGTAGGTAACAAAAAACGTGACATAAACGTTTTAAGGTTGCGAAAGGTTTTCAGTGACTTTTAGGTACGTTTGCGGTCATTATCAAGTCGAAGTATAGACTTTTTATTGGACTATGTTTTTGTTCAGCAGATTCGCTTGAATCATATGTTAACTTGGGTCATAATGAATCGAAAATTCTTAGCGTTTACGCCACACTTGGTCTAGAGGTAACGAATACGCCTGGGACGGTAAAGGGTCTAGGTTCGAATCAGATCAGGACCTCTTGTTCTCAACGGAAAATATTACTTTTCAAAATTTTGTCGGTCTTTTATTTTGTTTGCTTACTTTTTATTGGCTGAGATGCCCCATCTTATCAATATTTTTTATTTACGCAAGTTTTATTGTAGTTGCCTTTAGTGTCATGGTTTACTCCTGCATTTCGTAGTTTTTTCAACATTGACTTCAATTATTTTTTTTCTTTTTTTTTAGATTACAAACTTTATTCGAATCACATGGTTTGGATTTTTTTCATCGGCTTATTAAACTAACTTTGAGTCATTTCAAGAGGAATGTAATTCTGTTTTTTTTGGTAACTGCATTTTTTGCTGAAAAATTTGAGCAACCCAAAGGGTTTCAATTTGTGATTCATTGACTTATTTTGTTTCGTTTGAACGGCAAAACAGCCTCTTTGTTTTCAAAAAACTTTGATGTAGTCGCTGAAAATTTATGGCATTTCATCTACCTACAGACGTCTACCTATGTTTTACTACTTACGTTTTATTACCTACACTTGGCTGTTATCGCAAGTGATTCGAAGCTCTGATTTGTCTCTGTGTAATATTTGTGTCAAAAAATAAATTCGAGATTCTAAATTATTAATGCATGTATGTTATTTTCTTTGATAGTTTATGGTTTGATTATTTTTAGTGTCGTTACAATGAAAATTTGTGTGTATAAATGTACAAACAAATCGACGATGTAATGTGGGATATCATTTGCGTTAACAATTTGCATTAACATAACACTAATTGAAATTTTTCTCCGAAAAAAACTCAAAATTATTCCTCCAAAATAAATCAAATTTTTTTTGATGACTTTTAGTTTAAAATCAACTTTAGGCAATCAATCAAATAATACTCCAAACGTTAAAAGAAAGCATTTCGAAAGACAACTAACAAATTGATTCACATCATGTTACATTTGATTGCCTGAAATTGTTTTGATACAGACAATAATCAAAAATGATACAGCAATCATCGGTATGTTCTGAGTTTTATCACTTGAAAAGTTTTGTTTCAGAAATCTTGAATCGTGAAAGTTTGAAAATTCTGCAGTATTTTTAGAACAAAAACGGATAATTGCAAATAATTATTTTTAATTTATATGCACTTACTTTGACTTGTTAAATTACCTCATCTGTTTACTAAATTTGCTTTAAAGCTAATATTTTTCAATTAGATTTGGTCTTTTCTTCTGATGGCTATATGTTGTGCTCTTAGTTTATTTGATTGCTTGACAGTGTTATAGCCATATTTAGCCAAATTTGTATCGGTTTTATCATTTAGGTTTATAACCGAGAGTACTGGTGAGTTTTTTTCCCCAAATTTTCAGAATAACGTTGAATAAGAAGGCCGAAAATTTTTTCAATTGGAAAAATCTTGATAGTAAAATTCGATTTTTTGTTCAGATTTTTTTCATCATTTTAGTAACAGTTTTGGGCAATTCATCAAAGGTTGCTGTAAACATTAAAAGAAAGCGTGTTTAAAGATAACCGAGGAATCGATTTATAATAAGTTACAGCTGATTCCCTGAAATTTGTTTCAAACTGATAATCAACTAAAAAGTTTTGAAACTAGCAGCTCGCAAAAAGTTCAACTTTAGACAGCTGATTATTTATTAGGTGCATAATCCCAATTTTTATTTGATTTCTACATTAAATTTTAGTGCTCCAATAAACAATCATTGAGCTGGCAATCATCATTTATTTCTAAAATTTTCATCTGCGAAATTTTTTTTATTATCTGCAATAGTAATCTTTTAAAAATTTTGCGCCGTTCAGACAAAAAACTGATGATTGTTAGCTAATGTTTTTGACAAATACGTTGCTATTTGATGAGTAAGTTTAGCTAAATCTTTTTCCTGAAATCCCTTTTACATTGATTATCTTAGGGACATTTTGAAGTTTTTATTTCAAACGGTGAGTTTTAGTCTGATGGTTATTCGTTATGCGCTTAGCTTCATAGATTGTTGACTTTGTTTTTTCATCTGGTTTTATCTAATTGTTGAATTATTTTCATTGCGTGCCACAAATACCAAATGAACTGGCAGTAATCGTGAAAATACAAATTTTATAACATACAACTTCCATAATTCTAAACGTAATTTCATAAATCTAATTTAAATGCATGAACTACATGATTGGTGATATCAAGACCAGAAAAGCTTCAACTCAACATGAATGAGACTATCAAAGCACTGATAACCGCGAGAAAATAAACCAGCCAAAAAAGTGCGGAGTATATAAGCCATAATTTAGTACTGTTAAATCATATGAATGAAAATGCATAATTTTCGTAACGGTTGCATAACTGTTACATAACTATTATGCAACACTTCCGTATTTTCTGCTGGTCGATACTTCGGTTGCTTTATACTTCAGCTCGTTTATATACCACCCTGATAACCAATCTATCTAGCTTGCAGGAGGCTTGGTCTTTGACCAGACCGACCTTTTATCAGACCGCAAAACAATAACTCAACAAAGATCAGTAAAAAAAATAGTGGAGATTCAAAAATGAAGCGATAAAAACAAACGAAACCGTAAAAGAATTGTCTTTATCCAAGTTAAATAGCGTTTCCACATATGTCAATCAAATTTGTTTATCAGGTCTCGTAAACGGACCAGGTTTTAACTTTTCTGGTAAAAGTTGGTCTGGTAAAAGATCTTCCCTAACTTGCAGTCATCAAAATTTGCCTAATTTAGTACTGTGCTATTTATCAAGAGTAGTATTAGTTTTCAACAAAATTTTTGTCCATTTTTTCAATCCAACCACCAGTCTCTCTCGCGCGGATAACTGTATAATGTACATTATACAGTTATCCACACGAGAGAGACTCTGGTATGAGTCAAAACGTGTTGTCATTGGTGCAGCATGTTTGTATGTGAAATGGGCAGTAGAGATATAGCCATGTACCTGACCTGCACCATAAATGCATGAAAAGTAATTTAAGAGTGCGTGTGAGTGTTTTAATGCTTTTACTGAGGTACGGGGTATAACTGTATTAATTATCTAATTTTTAATCTCTGCCGGTCTTTCTCTTTTTGACTGGACTTTCAGAGGATGCTGACAGGGATCCGTTTTCATGCTGGAAGGTTCTCTTTGGACCTCGTCTTTCAACGTCCATTTGCTCATGGTAGATACGTTTGTCTTTCAACCATTTCCTAACCGGTTCAGGGAGTGCTTTCTCGTTCAACCTGCAAGGTTGTCCCAGGTCAATGCATTTCTGAAGCGCTTCACGCACATCGTCATGTGGAACGTACATCAGACAGAAGGCCAACTTGTTGAAGTTGTCATCAGTTAAAGCCGAAGTATAATTGTGTCCTGGTAATATAGCGCTAAAGAAAGAGGTTTTCATTCTTTCCTCGTTTCCCACACTTTTGTCTTTGCAGTCTTTCAGTATTTTTAGACAATCTGCAGTAGAAAAACCAATAGGTGGAAATGAAACGCGTGGTACGCGCGATAGCGATGACAAAAAAGCTTCGAGTTCGCATTTAGCATCCTTTTCAATGAAGTCAGCCAGGTAACTTTTATTCTCAACAAACTTATTGTCGGCGAGAAAGTGAATCCATTTATCACCAAGCATGACCAGTGCCTTTCCAAGCGTCTCCGCTTCGGGCATAAGCTCTGTGTAAGTTTTCAAGCTTCGTAGTTCTTTTTTACTGAGGAGCCGAAAGTCTACTTTGCCAGCTCCTCCGAAAGATTCGGAGCTCACATTTAAGAATGGTTTTCTTTCACAGTTACCAAAACTGCAGTTCATTTTATATGGCCTGAGATCGCTGTTTCTGAGCTTGAATTCTATTGTGCTTGGATCACTCGTAGACACTTTTAGCAGACCTGGTAAAAAAACGTTAATTATACTGAACCAAATTCCATTAATCAGCATCTCTCTGTCTTACTAAATTATTCAAAACTTTTCAAAAAGTGGCCAAAAACGGCATTTTTGATCTGTTTTTTCAAACATTTGCCTTCGGTGTGAAAAATTTAGTCAGTAAAAGTCTTTGTAGTGATTGGGAGAGCTCAGAAAATCAAACTTGTTCGATCTACAACAAAAAAAAAGAGTTTATTTGAATTTTTTTAGAAATCTAACCCCCCCCCCCACCTCCTCGAGAAAATCTTGGATCCGTCCCTGAAGAACACATAAAGAAGACGACTCGAGTCAAGATAATGCTCTGAACGTTCAAACGACTGCCCTTCAACACATTTGATGCAGTTTTTGGAAAAACAAAAGATAAACTTTAAATTAAAAAATTAAAAATTAAAAAAAAAATTAAAAATTAAAATTAAAAAAAATTAAAAAGGCTGTATTTTAATAAACCTTCGACCCAAGTTTTCATGTAAAGTAATGATTTATTTTTCATCCAGTAACGTATCGATGAGATCATGAAACTTGTCATTCAATTTCGAGCAATTTTCGGAGCGGTATCAAGCCACTGCTGACGCGTTATTAGCCGGAACCCTATCGCACATTAACATCCCCGAAATGTTCAAGTTTCAAACCTTCTACACAAAAATATTCAAACTTAAAAAATTATGTTTGTTCCAACTTTCTAAGAAAAAGGCCAAATATGTGTGCTCGGGGATTTTTTTCTCCAGAACAATTTCGTTTTTTCAACTACTCAATTTTAAACGAAATTTTTTTGTACCATCTGAAAGGTATTCACATCTTGAGCTCAACTTTAATTTTTTTTTTACCTGTGATCATTTTCAAAAAGTTATTGATGTGAGAAAATTGCCAATTCGGCTGATTTGGGACATTTAATGGGATATTTCGTGCTATTAACGCACAAGCGACTTTTTAATTCACTAATAGGTAGTTTCAATTTTATTTGAGGCAAGATAATTGTTTAATTAATACGTTTAGAAATATAAGAACATCTTTTTAGCTTGGAAACAAAAAAAAACCATTGTTCCTTTTTTGAAAATTTTTCAATTAATTTTCATCTGAGTTTTTCAAAAACTATTTCAGAGACATGGAAAAGCAGTCAAAACACACAGGGCTTCGCCTTGAAACGAGAAATATGAGCTTAAAATGTAACTTCCTTTTAGTTTACAGAAAAGTTTCAGTTTGAAAGTAGCTAGTTGAAAAGCTTGAAGAAACCACACCGAACAAAACTATTTTGTCATTTTCTCTAAAAATTAGAACAAAATGTCCAACCGTACGCAAAATGCATGGCTTAGGTAAAAATTAGGAGTAAAATTCGAACAAAAATGATACAATTGAGATTGTTGCGAATCGAAGTGATTCAGAGTAAATAGGAATTGAGCCTTTGAGTACAACTAGATTTAGTTTTTTTCAGCCTCAAATTAAAAATAACTCTTATTTTCTAAGCCCATAAAAACAAAAAAAATGTTTATTTTTAAAATTTTTTGCTTTGTTGTTTATTTGCAACAACCGATGTGTCCAAGTATTCTTGAATTATTGGTATCCAAACTGTTTGCTGAAAGTTATGCCATTTTGAAATTTAGTTTTTTAGTTTGATGAAAATCTGATCGAGAAGTTTTCGAAATTGTCTCTCGATGTTTGCAATTCAAAAACAGCGTTCACCAACAATGAGAATTCTGTCATTCTCTAAGCAATCAGTTTTATACTGAGGCTATCATCCCAACATAGAAATCGCAAACTTTTTAGCTAATTATAGTTTTTCTATAATTTTTGTTTTGCTTTTTGTTAAAATAATGTATATCAAACATCACACCCATTAGCAGCTTTTGAAGCTTGAAAATGATCAAAGATAGTAGTCAGTAATCTCATTGTACCCAGCAGTTAAAAATAACTCAGAAACGGTTCGAAAAAAGCATCATCAAAAAAAGCAAAAAATCAATATCGTAGAGATTTAGAAACATCTGTCTCTTTTTTGACAATTTTTCCAGTGTACTTGTGACAAAAAGGGATTGTCTTTTATCTATTGCAAAATGTGGTACTAAATGTCAAAGAAGTTACTTTTTGGTCAACAATTTTTCACAAGTGTAACTGTTGTGCAAGAGAGTTTGAGAAGAGAAAAAGAGAGAAAAGAGAGAGAGAGAGAGAGAGAGAGAGAGAGCGGAAAAGAGAGGAGAAAAAGAACGGAGAAGAGATGAAGAGATATGAGAGAGGGGAGAAGAGAAGATTTGGAGCAGAGGGAGAAGGAAGAGGAGGAGGAGGAGGAGGAGGAGGAGGAGCAGCAGCAGCAGCAGCAGCAGCAGGATCAAGATGAGGAAGAGGCGGAGCAGGAGTAGAAGGAGGATGAGGAAAAGAGAAAACTAATGACTACACAGCAAAAGTTTGAAGGCTGAGAGAGTCTACTACCTGTAAAAATAGCGTAGAAAATCGTTTGGTTCGGTTTGATATCATCGGCAATCGTGTAAAACATGTCTGTTCTTCTCAAGTACTCATATCGTTCCTGCCAGGTTTCGAATTTATCACAGGAAATTTCCAGATAATATTGATCATCAGTGACGTTGCTTTCAACTTGGCGGATCTTCAAATAACGATCGCTCTTTGTGAAGAATTCACCTGCTTTCGATCCAATTCTCAAAGCAGCCACTACCTACAGGGGCATATAAAAGATTTTCTCGAGGAAAGGCGGATTTTCAACAAACATTTTCGGCCTTTTTTTAGTCGACCAAATTTTAGGCTACCAGAAATTTATAAAGGCCTTATTGTGTGAAAACTTTCAGTGCCGCATGTAATTTTGAAAAACAAACTGGAAAAATTGCTTTTTTGGAACTTTTTGAAAATAATTTGATTTAAAAATTAGGCGTTTTTTGTCGGCGCTCGCTTCTCTTCAAAATTAGTATATGTTGGCACCAAAGGAGGCTCTAGAAACATTTTAAGGTTTGCCGCCAAAAATGCATGTCAAAAAATAATTCCAAAGGAAGGGATGAATGGGTCGAATCCATGAAAAAGGAAAAAGCGGTATAGCTACTATGGTGCTCTAAAACTATCAAATGAAAAATTAGTTAGTAGATTTTTTTAAACGACACCTTGAAGTCTTTTGTGGAGGTTAAGATTTTTCAAATGTGCTCACTGCTTTTTTTTTAGTCAGAAAAAACCCCACGTCAGAAAACACAGTTGAGCTCAATTGAATAGATTCATCCAGCACTTCAGCCGTTCTACCTAGCAAGTTGTCCTCGTCCAATTCATAATCATCTTCTTGTATCTGTTCTTTTTGTTGTTCAGATAAAGGGAATTTAACTGTGACCGGCAAGAGAAAAGGGCAGTCCGTTGGCTGGACTAATCTGAGAATGTCCGTTAGCATTGTTCCTTTGCCGTCGTGATCACTTCTTGTTGATGGTTTTGCCGGTTCACCATCTGATATTTTAAGCTCCTTCCCCTTAACTCCGAGGAATTCTAGAGACACTAGTCTCTCCCCAATGACGCATCCTCGTGGAAACGTAACTGTTACCAAATTGGCACCATTTTGTTCGTTGATTTCGACAACTGTTCCGTCTGACGTCACATTTGTCTTGCACAAGTGCGTTGATTTGTTGGCCGGCTTAAATGATTTGATCACTGTCAGTTGACGCTGAAAAATATTGGTATTTTACAATTTGTGAATGTGCTTGTACGAATTATTAATGTTAAGATTGAGATTATTCATCAACGAGGGAAAAAAACAATATACGAGTTGTTGAGCTCTTAGCGGATAAACAGTAAACCCTGATAAATTTGGAAAGCAAATCTTGCATGGTTGTTGCGTATTGAAACGCAAATCTTGCAACAATCTTACATGCTACAATTTCTCGTTAATTTTCTTCACTTCTTCTAAAGCCGTCCGAAGCAATCATGTTAACTAGAATTTTTATGAAAAAACGCTTTCAGTTTTTCACTGCTCTGATTTTTAAGAATGCATGTTTTGAAAGAATCTTGTCCGACTTTTGCACGTACAAACTTCACTGATGATGTATAAAAAAACTTCGAGCAAATATCTCAACTTGCAAATTTTAGCTTTTTGTCCGTTAAATACGATTAAAAAGCAATAGACAAATTTGGCGGAAACAAATATTTTAGGACCATACCCGGGTTGCCCACCATAGAAGATAATGCGCAACCATACACATCCATGCATGATTTGTATGGAAAATGACCAATCATACGTGGCACATACGTTTGTTTCGAAAACCCTCAAAATAGCTTTTGAATCGATTAGATTAGTGAAAAAACGGTTTATCCTCCTTATGCAAGCTGTTGTTAAGATATGAAAAATTTTCACCATGCAAATCATACGTCGCAACATATATGGTGCTACGTATGGAAGAGATTTTTCACAATTTTTTTTCTCTGGAAAACCAAGAAAATAGAAGTTAAATAGCAAAAAATTACTGAGAAAAAGTATCCTTAGTGCACGGAACGCTTTCATTAGATTCTCATTTTTTCCACCATGCAAACCATACGTCGAACCATAAATGGTGCTATTTATGGAAACGATGTTTCCAAACAAAAACAACTTTAATCGAGCATCAAATAAATTATCAACCTGGTAAAAGTATCAATATTGTCTAATTTGTAGCCCCCCATAATACAAAAAGTGTGCAACCATACGTCGCGCCATGCATGGAAAATGTGTTAATTTAACATAAAAATACGTCGGCAATTTTCATGGCTTCCATGGAACCATTCATGGTGCGACGTATGGTTGCACATTTTGGTCAAGCCGGGTACTTCTAGTTGACTATTTTCAAAAAAACCGTGTTAAAAACAATGAACACGCTTTAAAAGGCATTGATAGTTATGCATTTTTGCAGTTTTTCGATGCATGTCTCGTCTTTCGATGCATGTCACGTGTGGAAATCCAACTCCAACATTCTTCGGTATGAAGTTTTTCCAAGTGAGTTCTAACGACTTAGAAAACTATCAAAGCGTTAAAATGCCAGAAACAGCTAATAAAATTGAAGATTATACTCAGTAGAATGCAAGGCTTGGCATTTTCTTTGAAATTGAATGCAAATCTTGCTTACCATTGCATTTCAAGACCACCACAGAGAATAAAATGAAAACTTTAAATAAGTTGTTATTGTTCCGACTTTCGAAAAAAATGACGGAATATTTATGCTCAGGAAGGTTTTATTTTCTCCAGAAAAATTTTCATTTCTTACCTAACTTTTTTGACAGAGATTTTTATAGCTTTCAAAATCTATTGCTGTCTTGAGCTCTAATATAAAAAGATGTTTCACCTGTGATTAGATTGGTGAAGCAATGGGTTTATGAAGATTTCCAATTGGCCATTTCCGGATAATTAATTGCTCTATTATTTCAAGCTTTTAACGCGTGAGCACAGATTTAAACCATCTTAGAAATAGTTCCATATAAAATTGAGGCAAACTTTTTGGACTTTTTAAAATTTTTCTATTTGCAAACTTATCACGTTTTGCTTTTTAAACCGTGTGGGTCAATGGTACTGAAAACGAAATTTCAAAAAAAAATCATTTTTTACGAAAGACTTTTTTTCATGGAACTTAACATCAGTCGAAACATTCAGTGCTTTGCCCTAATACGAGCAAACTTGTTTGTTATAAGAAGCATAACGTTGGTTTACTTGTGCTTTTTTGGAGCTTCATGCTTTTATGGTATATAATGGCTATCAAGATAGTGTTGGTCAGGGGATCATAATTTTGTTTGCAATACTTTCGTATACAATGATTGTCTCACGCTAACCTCACAAAAAAACTTCCCAAATTTTCCAATAATTAGAATTTTTAACGAAAAGAAAGTTTTGAGGAAACCTAACTCGAAAAAAAATCAAACTAGCTTGACGGCCACAATTTGGTTATACAATCATCTTCTACGAAAAAATTGGCATCCCTTTTTAGTAACTGACTTCAACCAGGAAGAAAAAAAATCTGTCGACGATGTAAGACGTATGTGAGAATGCAGTGCGAGCGCGTAGTGATGTACAAAATATCCACAGGATAGTGCAGTGTTTTTTGAATAGATTCTCGCATTTGCACTCAATTTGCTAAAAAAAGTTAGTCATAACTGGGGAAATTAGGGGGAAATTAATATCAACTGAACGAAAAATTTGCTGGCCGAGAACCAATCAGATCGGCAATGGTCTGAATATCACTCTGTATTTTGTAAATGCTCACCTTAAGCAGAGACCTTTTCTCGTGTTCAGTTATTTCTGTAAGTTTTTTAGCAATTCCAAACTTTGTAATCATTAACTATCCTTGTGTTCTGGCAAATTAATATTAAAAACTGTTTTAATGAAAATTGAAAATGTTCTAGTGAGAGGTGTAACCATTTAAAGCATTCAAATTGAAATACATGCAAAATGCACCACGTAGAAATGAGAAAATATAGGTTAAATTATATGAAAAATTTGAAATAAATACATATCTGTTGGTTTTATCTAAAAACCTTCGATGTTTTCTTTCTCCAGTAGAAGTTTCCAAAAACGCACTAAAAATTTTGACTCAGAAAACAAAATCCAGGTAAGAACTGCACAATTGAACAATTTTTTTTTCAACTAAAGCTAAACTGATTGATCAAAAACTCTACAGTTCCTGCTAGTTTTCTAACTGAAATATTATTGAAGCTAACAAGAACAGAAACAAAAATTTCACAGTATCTCTATTTGATTTGTTTCATGTTAAATATCATATCAACCGAAAAATTATACATCTAATTCTGCTAAAATTAACAGTTTGCTCAGAAAATTCTAGCAAATTATGTATTTTTTCTCTAAAGTCTTCTACAACGACAAAATTATTGTTTTTCTTAAAGAAAACTCAACATATGTAGGTTTTGGTAGCAAATTTTTGATTTTTTTTGTTACTGACTTCAGCCAGGAAAAAAATCATATGACCACGATGTAAGACATAATGTAAGTATGCAGTGCGAGCGCGAAGTAATGTACAAAATAAGCATAGGTTAGTGCAGTGTTTTTTAAATAGGTTCTCGCTGTTGAAATTGATTGCATAAGAATTTAGTCATAACTGGGGAATATAGGGTAAAAATGATATCAATTGAACGAATATTTTGCTGGCCGAGAACAATTTAGAACGGCAAAGTATTACTCTGTGTTTTCATGCTCACCATAAGCAGAGACCAATTCTCGTGTTCAGTTCTTACTGTAGGTTTATTAGCAATCTAAAACCTTGTAATCATTTACTAACATTGTGTTATCGCAAATAATTTTAAAAAAAAATTTTTTTCCTATTTTTTATTTGAGTTTTAAAGTGTTCTAATGGGAAGTGGAACCATTTGAAGCATTCAAAATGAAATACATGCAAAATGCACAACGTAGAAATGAGAATAAATAGGTTAATGTTTACACAAAGTTTTGAAATAAGTACAAATCTGTTGGTTTTTATCTAAAAAGCTTCGATGTTTTCTTTCTCCAGTAGAAGTTTCCAATAACGCACTGAAAATTTTGACTCAGAAAACAAAATCCAGGTAAAAACTGTATCAATTGAACAATTGTTTTGAAACTAAAGCAAAACTGATTGATCAAAAATTCTACAGTTCCGGCTAGTTTTCTAACTGAAATATTTTTGAAGCTAACAAGAGCAAAAACACAAAATTCACAGTATGTCTATTTGATTTGTTCATGTTAAATATCGTATTAATTTTGCTTAGAAAATTCCAGCACATTTTTTAATACTTTCTCTAAAATAGTCTCCAGCAACACAATAATAGGTTTTCAAAACAAAATTGAACATATGTGGGCTTTGAAAGCCAGTTTTGATTTATGCTTCACCTATTATCTTCCATAAGAACTAAGTTTGCTTGATTTCAACAAAAAATATAGATAAGTTCATTGAAAACTTTAAGATAACCAATTTTTCTTGTCTCAGAGTTGGGTTACTTCAAAAAAAATCTTTGAAACATCTGAATTTTTATGTAATTTTAATTTATACATCAAATAATCACAAAATTTTTGACAAATTACCAATTTTTGATTTTTTTAAAGCTGGATTTTTTTGTAAGTTAAAATTTGTAACCTAAACTGAAGCAAAATGATCTCGAAACTCCTAAAGAATCAACTTCTAGATTGTTTAGTCAAAAGAGTTTGATCTGAGTTTTTTTTGGTTTCTGCTGGATCTATCAACTTCAGATTTATTCCAATTTGAACAATCATTTACTCAGAAAACTGTATCAGTTCAATGAACGATCAAAAAGCCAAAACTATGTTGGCACCAAAAACTCCATTTGCTTTGAACCTTCAGAAAGACACTTCTGAACCTGATAAATGTATGTTTTATTTTAATCTTAACTTTCGATTTTGAAGTGAAGTTCCAGAGCAAAATTATGAATATTTTTATCTGAAAATGATCAGGGTCTAAAAAAATTCCAAATTTTCAACTTTTCTTAGTCACTTATCAAAAACAGTAAAAAATCATCTGGTTGAAAACACGCTATTCTGTAAATTCAATTAAAGACTCTAAACTAGGAAATTTATAAAAAAGATAGCTGGTCATACCGAACCAATTAGTGGATGTTTTATAAAAATTTGTCATTTTTGTAACTATTTTTCAGCAAAAACTTATTCCACTTATTAGCTCAAAATTATTAAATTAACTGCAA